ATGAATAAATAAATAAATAAATAAAATGAAGGAAGGAAAGAAAGAATGAATGAATGAATGAATGAATGAATGAATGAATGAATGAATGAATGAATGAATGAATAAATGAATGAATGAATGAATGAATGAATGAATAACATTTTATTGATCCGAGTGGGGAATTTGGATCACCATGGCAAACATACCTATATAAACAAGGCCTACGTGATTATAATGTACACAAACATAAATCCATGCATAAATTCATACACATGCATAAATACAAACATAAAAGTATAGTGTTACACCACATCACTACAGAGCACTTTCACAAACATCCCATTGCTGGTCACCCCTGTGCAGCGTTCTGGTTTGTTTTATTTGTTTGTTTTTGGTGGGGGGGGGGTTGTTTTGTTTTGCTTTAGTTGTTTTGTTTTAGCTAGGGTTGTCGTGTCTTGCCCAAAGACACACCCTAGCGACAACCTATCTTTAGCCCGTGTCACAGACACTTGCTTGACATTACATTTGAGTCTGAACTCACGACTCTCTAAGCTACTGGAACCCCAGATTAAAAAAAATATACGAGTCACGCCCATTGACAAAATGAAATGAGAAATACATTAATTGTTTCACAATATGATGAAATCAGGTGCTCGTCAATTTTTTAGCCAATATTTTTTAGCTAATATATATAGTTATCTGGATAAATTTAAATCTTGATCATTTGACTTTCGTTTGAAGGAAAAAAAAGCACCCATCTATCTAACTATCTAAATAGACATATCGAGATACATTGTATTTGAAATTGAGGAAAGAAGTGAGGGTCGCCTGATGGCAGAAGAAAAGTTAGCGAGAAAATGGCCGTCAAGGTACGGCGAATTTCAAAGACAGCGTATCTTTAGTAACTGCACATTTTCGTGCCTTTGAATATTGTATTTCAGTAAAAATTTGTGGCGTCAGTGGCCTAGTGGTTAGGCTCTCGGACTCGCAACCGTAAGGTCGTGGGTTCGAATCCTGTCAGGGACCTGACGTTGTGTCCTTGGGAAAGGCACTTTACATGAATTTTCCTCACTTCACCCAGGTGGGAATGGGT